AAAAAAATTCTTTCCAATCCGACAAAATAAAGAAAACTTTAAAATTACAAACACATACAGAAACACGCACATAACCTTTTATGCAATGACATCATGGTAGAATTTCGATGATATTCAGACCTTTTATCTTGGTTCTGTGACATGTAACCCTCTCCCTAAATGCTTCTGAAACTCAATATCATGCGGACCTAGTAAAGTGGACAACGTCTTTAAACCCCACCCTCCCCAAAAAGGGGGGGGGCGCGAAAGAAATAAAAACAAGGGGATGAAAAGGATGCAGATCGAGTAGTTCCATTTCTTTTTGGATTATGAATTAAAGCAGTCAAAGAGTGTGACTTCTAAAAACATTTTAATGACCATTTACAATGGCAGCATCAAACCATGTGGGCCTATTGATTACGCCATATGCATTTGGGGATTTACAACCCCAAAGAACTTGGCTCGCATTCAGCGACTTCAGAAATAGGAAATTATGATTACTTGAACTCTGAAGGAATTGACCTGGTCAAGTCGTTGGGATGGATGTTACTCAGCGAAGGGATTATTTTACCACGGTCGTAATGTGTAAATTTATATGTGGTCTGGCTCCGAGCTACCTCACCAATTATTGTTTTACAAATTGCGACCAATGAAAATGGTTTCATTACTAGGTCTCATCCAATGAATTTATGTTACCCCATCCCCAGACTTGAGCGAGCAAAACGTTCACTAAACTTTGCCGGACCTAACCTGTGAAACAACTTACCCGATTTCTGTAAAGATATCCCTAGTGTCACCACCTTTAAAAAAAAACTTGAAACGTTGGTTTTAAACGAATCTTGATCAGTTGTTATAAGGACATAGTTTACAGGATGTATCTTTTAAGTAAAAATTCCTTTTTATATTTTTGGTATTTTTTCCTTGGTTTAATGATATTATTAGACTTGTATATTGTTTTGATAATAGGGCCATTTTGAAAGACAGCTATTACTGAACATTGTTTCCCTGTATAAATATGATTTTAAATAACTAACTAAATAAAATAAATAATGATTCATTAATTCCTCACACAGTTTTCCTATTAAACAACGTGCAACTTGACCGTGTAATAACGCGCGCGCCAAGTCCATACAAGGATTCTATTGGACAACTTGCACAAGGAATATACCATAACATGGACGGGGGTGTTCAGGAAAATGAAAGAAGTCCATTTACTTTGGACACCACAGGTTAAGAGTCAGGGTCATTAAGGCAAAGTCAATGGAAAAAGTTTTCCCACCATAACTCGTTTGCTT